TGTGTGTGTGTGTGTGTGTGTGTGTGTGTGTGTGTGTGTGTGTGTGTGTGTGTGTGTGTGTGTGTGTAAATATCACATGGCAGCAACTCAACGCATTTAGGCATGTAGATTTGTCCAAGACTATCTGCTGCAGTTCAAACTGAGCATCAGTATGGGGAAGAAAGGTGATTTAAGTGACTTTGAACGTGGCATGGTTATTGGTGCCAGAAGGGCTGGTCTGAGTATTTCAGAAACTGCTGATCTACTGGGATTTTCACCCACAACCATCTCTAGAGTTTACAGAGAACAGTCTGAAAAAGTTATCCAGGGAGCAGCAGTTCTGTGGGCGCAAATGCCTTTTTGATGCCAGAGGTCAGATGAGAATGGCCAGACTGGTTCAAGCTGATAGAACAGCGACAGTAACTCAAATAACCACTTGTTACAACCGAGGTATGCAGAAGAGCATCTCTGGACACACAACACATCGAACCTTGAGGCGGATGGGCTACAGCAGCAGAAGACTCCACTGGGTGCCACTCCTGTCAGCTAAGAGTAGGAAACTGAGGCTATATTTCACACAGGCTCACCAACATTTGACAGTTGGACGATTGGAAAAATGTTGCCTGGTCTGATGAGTCTTGATTTCTGCTGCGACATTTGGATGGTAGGATCAGAATTTGGCGTCAACAACATGAAAGCATGGATCCATCATGCCTTGTATCAATGGTTCAGGCTGCTGGTGGTAGTGCAGTGGTGTGGGGGGTATTTTCCTGACACACTTTGGGCCCATTAGTACCAGTTGAGCATCGTGTTAATGCCACAACCTAGTATTGTTGCTGATCATGTCCATCCCTTTATGACCACAGTGTACCATCTTCTGATGGCTGCTTCCAGCAGAATAACACTCCATGTCATAAAGCTGGAATCATCTCAGACTGGTTTCTTGAACATGACAATGAGTTCACTGTACTCTAATGGCTCCACAGTCACCAGATCTCAATCCAACAGAGCATCTTTAGGATGTGGTGGATTGGGAGATTCTCATCATGGATGTGCAGTTGACAAATCTGCAGCAACTGTGTGATGCCATCATGTCAATGTGGACCAGACTCTCTGAGGAATGCTTCCAGCACCTTGTTGAATCTGTGCCATGAAGGATTAAGGCAGTTCTGAAGGCAAAATGGGGTCCAACCCGGTACTAGCAAGGTGTACCTAATAAAGTGGCTGGTGAATGTATATATTTTATTACATTTGTGCTAAAATCATCAAAATGTTTCAACAGACAGGAACAACACAAAAAGCTATTTTGATCAAACACGCAAAAAATGGTTGAAAAAGAGCATGAAAACGTTCAATCCCATTAGCTAATGAAAACAGATAACGTATAGCCAGACTTTAAATGTCAGTAAAGGCTAAATGTTGAATTTTTTCAAGTGAGACTGTGCCACACTCTGAGCAGCCTCATTGTTTTTGCCTCATTGTTCATGATAATGGATCAGTGCACTGAGATTTGAATGGCATTAAAGCACAATTGAGTCCTCTCATTGACATTTATTTCTGTGACCAGAACCACTGAAAGGTTTTATACAGTAGACTATTGATGATAAAACTCCCATATGAGGTTCTGAGTGTGTTGTTGGTCTGAGTGCTCCATGTAAAGATACTTTACAAAACATCACAACCTAAATCCTTACATTAGAAATTTAGCATTTGAACTCAGAATTGCTCTTTCTGGCTGTAAGAAGGTGAAAATGAAGTATTTTCACATGAACGTCTGAGTAAAAGCAACAGTTTCACACAGATTACTTCAGCCACGCTTTGAAACATTAATGCTTTCATTTACACTTTGATTTTTCTGCAAATGATTTAGGTTTTCATCTTTACCAGGATCATGCTCTTTAAAGGGTAAAGGATTGTCTCCTCTAGAGAAAACTTCAAATTTCAGTTTCTAACATATAAAAAGAGGGCATCTATTCTACACTTTCATCTTCTGTAAAATAATGTTTACTTAAAAAAAACATACTATGACAAGGCTTTTGTCACTTTAAGACTGCTGGTCCTGACAAGTTAGGCGTACCAGACAAGGTCCTAAAAGTAGCTATATACCCACACACACACACCCTCATACTATGTTTCTCCATCCTTGTGGGGACTTTCCATTGACTTAATTTCATTTACTGGTCATTTCTATAGCCTGACCCTGACCCCTTCAGACTATACCTCTGAACCTAGTAGAGCACAGTAGAGCTGAAAAAAAGTGAGGACCGGGACAAGGTCTTTGATTCTAACTATTTTGCAAGTGGTCCTCACTCTGTAGTAGAAACAAGTAAACACCCACACATGAATTTGTATTTCTATCCTAATGGGAACGTGTATTAACTTCCATGTATTTCTGTAGCATCTCACTGTTTAAGTTCAAGTTTCTCAAATAGTTTATGTTTGCAGAAGGTGCATGTTAGTGCAGAGCAATGAGGTGACATTTGAGATTTTCTTCTGTATTTCCAGCACTTAAAAGCTCCAAGATTACCTTTTCTGGGGGAGTAGGGTGGTGGTAAGTTTATTTAATGTGACTTCAAAACTAATTTAACATTTCCAATTAACCTATAGAATTAAGGCAGATGTACTTTAAATTCAACACCTAACATACATGTTGTGTTATCTTTGAAAAAGAGCCATGAAGGCAAACCCCAATTAAAAAGACCACAGTTAAGATTGTTAACCTGCAACCTGCATTTTGCAAGGTTGCCAAAAAGCATACCCCGTGCAGCCCTATATCATATCAGCAAAAGATATTTTATTTACATACCAGTTTGAATAAATGGTGACTCTTGTGAATGTCTCTATGCAAACAGTACAGAAAAATGTTCACTCTATTACCACAGCAAACAACACACAAACCATGTGCTTTGCAAAGGAGACAGAGCATTTGTCTACAAGAATACACACAATTTGTGAACTTTCAACACAGGGTTTCACTGCACAAGGTTTTCATCTGTTCTTTAATTAAACATTCAAATACCAACCGCTTGGAAAGCCAATTAAAATCCATGTTTGAATTTACACAACATATAAATCACACAGCATATGGTGTTGTATAGAGTATGTACACACAACTACATTTACAGTTATACCAATCAGCTTATAAAGTTCTTGGTATTGTTGTCTGTAATAAAATGCACTTAATTATAACAAAGCACAATATAAAATAAATTGAATTGAGTCTCAAGAATGTTTAATTTATTTTTTTTTTTTTTACCACACTTCAAGTATCTGAAGAGAGTTAACTTTAGGGAAAGGAGGAGATCTTTAAAAATGCATTGGAGACAAAAAGACAACCTGAGCTGTTTAAGACCAAACTCAGCAAGTAAGCATTTTTAAAAAGTGAGCTTTATCAGTGGCCTTCAAACACACACAGGTCATAGAGTCGCTAAAAGGATGACCATATTTAAAGTCCTTTGGTTTTACATATTAATAGATGGAGAAACAAAAAAAATACACTTTGGGCTGTTGACTGTGAGCGAGTACAACTCTCTTCATTGTTTTCAGAAGATATTTGGTACCATAAGTGGCAGAACATACTATATTTAAAAGTACAATCTGACATGAAACACAAATAAGAAAAACAAAGGAGGAAAGCACCTATTGGTTAGCGTGACTTTAATAATTTATCGTATGAGCAGATGTTGTTAAAAATAATGTGGTGTAAAAGATGTTTATATATTTCATTTTATTAAAAAAACAAAAGATATACAAACCCCTCAGTGCTCCTGTAGACAAGAAGCCTATACTACGAAGCAGGATAAACAGCTTGGTGAGGGAACTACAGGGTTAGATCTGGATTTTCAGCATCATGAAGCTTCGTCTGTTGCCTGAATAACAGATGCTAGGGATTTAACACAATTAGGAGCAAGTTGTCTTTGATGTGTAATATGTAAAACAGAGTAAAAGGACTGTCTCTTGGTCTATTAATGTTTTTAGAAAATAAAACAAAACAAAAAATGGATTATCTCCATTTCTGTTATTAACTAACCATAACCTCAATGCGTCTTTGTTAAAAAATTCTCACTAGAACTGATGTTTACAAAGACTAAAACAGAGGCTGATTACTCTAAAGTTTGTTCCTGTCAACAAAACTACGAACTAATTCATGATTATTGTTTCAATAAATACTTTAAAAAGTGGCTTTTCACTCTAATAAATGAGGGTGTAGTGCATTTCATACTGCTTTGTTTAATTGAGTGTTTGATCATTTTTCCATTCAGAGCAATAAATGTTTTTTCAAGACTAATCAAAATATCAAATTAACTGAAACACTGTGTAACATTTCACTAAATCCTAATTGGGCTAATTTTATTTTGTTTTTAAGGGCATTTAAAACAGTCTGAACAAGAACCTGCATTCAGTTTGTTTTGAAATTTGGAAAATCTGGGTTGACATTTTGAGATGATAACCTGCTTTTATGTGCCGATAGGCATGGTTTTTTATCGTTAGGGTAGATTGAGTCAGGTCTTGTAAAAGAATCCTGGGTATGTTGAAACTGCTTCAGATCGCAGGCCTCTGATCTCTGATTAGAGCAACAAAAACAGATTTTATCTGACCTGCTGCTTTAAACTCTTGGTCTGCATTGAACTTGTAGTAAAAACAAATTATGAAATACACAATTTGTCCATTTTTTCAGATTTTTTTTTACTAAACTATGTCCATGATGCATTCTCGGCCACATTCAACCTGAAGCAAATCAAAAGTAACAGTTTTTTGTTTAAAACAAAACGATAATAGAAACAATGAGTCTAACATGAAGGAACAGATATTTCTCCAGAAAGAAATGAGTCAGGGGGGACCTCTCAGCGGTGTGGCTTAAGGCTGTCACATCTGTGGAAGGTGGAGGACATTTCCATGATGAATCAATTCATGCAAGGTTTTAGAATTTCAAGACAGTTGAGTAAAAGGGCTGTGATGGCCTGTGGGATTAAGCTTGTCTCATTTTGTTCATGGACACTCGAATGGGAGAAATCCACTGCCTTTTTTCTGGGACACCATTCATGGGAGAGTCAGAGCGATGAGAGAGGGACAAGTGAGGGTCCGGGCAGATAAACAGTTGTCCCAACAGAGTAAGTTCTCTTTAGGAGGTTTGCTCTTGTTTTTCCCCGCCCGTCTTAGTTATTTTAATCAGAGTCTCCTCAGATTGTGCTCCTCCTTGCAGGAGCCTTTTCTTAGAGTCATGTCGTCCACGGCCATCTCTCCACTTCTGCCCCGCCCACGCTCCCCCTTCAGGATCACCTGATGAACAGCAGGACATTATTACTTTCACAGTTTTGTCAAATATGGTCTGTAGTATCTCTTTAAGAGTTTTTAAAACATGTTGTACTTTCTACTTACACTTTCTAGGCCTGTACCCCACAACGTGATCTGGGTGTGCCTCCAGCCGTTACCTCCCGTCCGGCCCCACACCGCCGGACTGTACTGCTTTCCTTTCTTCACAAACACTTGCAGCATTCCCACGTGGTGGCCTGCCAGTTTGTGCCGGAATGACAGGCACAGATTGCCATCATTCCAGGGCGGGGTGAGCGGGAGGACGAGGCGAGCCCCTCGTCCAGTCCGCTTGTTTCCTGTCTCTGGGATTGTAAGATACCGTCCACCTGTGAAGAGAAATTCATGAAAACACATCACTTTTCATTCAAAACGGGACACATCAAACACTGACATTTGATGATGCCGAATGATCTTTTAAGAAAGATAACACATCAAGACGTTGGTACGAGATCTTTTCTTCTGGTGCTGTATCCTCAAAAACCACAGTTTTTTCCACTTTTATTTTTTCGTTTTGCACAACAACCCCCATCCCCCCATAAACCAACACGGTACTTATCCTCAAAGCCTCTATAAAAGCAGAAGAATGCATACTATACAACTTTTTTTAAAGCTGAAAGGGGAAGGGATTTAGTGAGCTTCAACATTAACCTTAGCAAACCACAAAAATGTCTCAAGTCATTTTTACAGAAGTTAAGTTAAATTTTGCTGTGGCAGCAGCTAACAGATTGTGCAAAGGTTTGGATGATTCAGAGTACTTCTGGCTTAAAAGTTTGACATGTTGGAGTCAGCCCTGTTTGTTTATTAACAAAATATCTACTGAATAAAAGGATGAATTTTATTGAAATTTTCATAGAAAATCCTTACCGCATTGATTTTACATATGTCCTGTATTATTGGAGTGAACTAATAAAACACATTTGTTTTCAATAGTTTTTAATACAGCTTGAAATTTGACATTTTGTGTTTTTTTTATGCTTTTACTTTGTCTTGTCATATTTTGAAAAGTTTTTTTAGGACCTTGTATTTGGCCAAAGACAGTTGTTTTAAATGTGCTATACTAATAAATTTCTTTTGATTTGATATGTATCTACAGTAATTCAAGATAACTGCAACAGCTAATTAGCCCTGGCAAAGACAAAAATGTCTAACTCTGGTAACTTTGCAAATACTGCTCTAAAATTTGAATGTAGTAGTAGCTGAGAGTTCTTATGAAAGCCACTACAATGGCTAAAAGGTCACACAAGATTTTTATTTAAAACTCTGGCATGCACAGACATAACACTGTTTTTTAATTTTATTGTGTTTTGCTCCTTAATGAACTTTTTTTCTTATCCAGAAACTTTATTAGCATTTTTTTTCATCAAACTTTAAACATTTCGTATCGATCAGTGTGCAGAGTTATGGGCGTTGTCCACCAAAAAATAAATAAAGAAATAACCAGATTCAAATTTTACATCTTCAGATTTTCCACCCTTTTACACCGTGTGCTAAAAATATTCCATACGGTAATGAACCTGTGCCAATGCCAGGGCAAACAGAGATTCACTTTATTAATTTATGCATTAGTGATAGGAGAGGTGCAATTTTAAAATTTAATGTGAAAGAACTCCTGGGGGGAAAGCTTGATTAATGCTGATGTGCGTATTTTGCTTATCTGGCAGAGCCATTTATGGCTGGTGTTAATTACTGAGGCTGTGTTAAGAATCCATGAGCTGCAGGGGCTTCTTGCATAAATTATGAGCTCCCGCCAAGACTGTGCCGTTCCTTTAAAGGACGTGTTTGCCCGTGGCGGTCCATCAAAAGGATGTTAAGTGATAAACAGCACCAACTGCTCGCTTCACAACACCCAAACAAAGCATGCATGGTTAGGCACATTACTGAACTGCCTCTGATTCAACATCAACAAGCTGCCACCAATTGAAGTGTTACCTTTAAGAGATTATTCTTCACAGTCAGCGCTAAGCCATAATTTAATGATAATTATCAGAAAACTTTAACTTTTAGGGGGAAATAAAAGAACTCAATTGCATAATTGAGGAAAATAATACAATCTTGGCTGAAAAAAGTCCTCTATCTGGAAATCTGGAAATACTAATAAATAAAGAACAACCTGCCGTAGAAGCCAGATGTAGTTACTGTCCTTTCAGCAGAGCCAGACCACGGGACTAATTAGACGTCTTGTGTCCTTCCAACATAATTTGCCATGTCTGCTTCTTGTTGGAAGCCAAAAAAAAGGTGTTGTATTCCAATTTAATGAAGCCCCAGGTTTCACTGATGAGACAAGTAATCCACTTCTCATTCCAACTGCTTTGTTGAGCAAAGCACTAATTAAAGGACAACAAAGTACTCCCTTTCAAGTGATTTTCATCTTGACCTGTAATTGAGGGGAACAACACTGATTTTTTTATGCAAATGTGCGCATGTTAATAAAAGAACACAGATATTCTAATTACAGGGAGGCCACCTGATTAACTAGACCAATAGATGCCATTAATAATCTGGCGTTCTTGAGCTTAGCTGATTAGCAAGTAGGCAAAACTTTAGGCAAAAAAAGAGATTGCTAATCCAGAGAAAACAGGAAATGTGTAAAACGCAACATGTGTGTCAATCAAATGGCTCCAAGCAAACTCTAGTTTTTTTTAAAGGGGCAATTTCATGTAAAATCAACTTTTTTTTAGTTTTATATCATGTTATAATGTTATACTCTCATAAAAAACATGCCCTAAGCCTTGCTTTGACTCATTCATGCATGTTTGAGAAATTCTGCAGCATTTTTAGGAAGCCATGCTGAGGAGCAAAACGACAGGTGGGGACCAAAAACGCCTTTTGGTACCAGAAACGCCTCTGGGACGTGTCTTTAAG